ATCTGTATTAGTAATGAAAGGATGTTGAGTATCCAGCTGTGATTGTGCAGGTGGAATTGTAGACTCATCTGTGACAGGTGCATGCAGGTGTTCGAAACAAAGGTGTCTGCTGATTCTACACCTGGCATATCTGGCCAGGTGTAAGGGATCATGTTCAGAATCCAGATCTTCCTCGGATTATATTCTCAAAAAGAATATTATGCAGCTTTAATTTTGTGTTTTGTATGTATTTGCAAGTAAAAATAGGATCCTTTGTGCTGGATATGACATAGAGTGTTATGTCCCAAGCATGGCACGCACAGTCTGTCATGTCAAAGACAAAAGCTGCAAAAACATGGCACACACAGTTTCCATTGAAGCAGGGATTTGCATTAGCAATGACACGTGTGTCTGCATGTCTGTCTTCATTAGTCCAACCAGGGTTTGGAGATCTCCCTGAAATATTGGGAGCTTTGTATTGTCTTCTTTATCATGGAAATTAGGTTGTAATTAAGTATAATCTATTTCAATTAATGGCATTCTCTACTGAAATTACGTATTAATTACATAATTAAAGCAGGCAGCCATCAGGACCTTATCATGGCCAGGAGAAAAGGTACAAAAACCACAAGTTCTGCCGCAGTACCGAGGCCAGCTGCCAGGAGGCCCATACTTGACATTGACCTTCATCGTCTCATTCAGACCTTCTTGATTTATGCTGACTACAAATACGTGGAAACACTCAAACACTTAGACCAAAAACAACACTTCCATTTTTCATGGAGGTAATGATGTACAGGCTGGTTTCTCTCTAATTCTCTTGAATGACTTAATTCATGAGAGACAGGTTCTGGATAGACCTAGCTTCCATCCCCCATTCCCAGGTGGAACGTTCCCGACATGTTATGAATTTAACCCAACTTATGAATGCTGCATGAGGATGTGGCATCTGCATTGTTGCGAGATTGGAACAGGGGTAATGCATGGTGGGAATCTACCAGATGCCGATAGCTATATATGCCAGGCCCCACACAGACAAAACTCCCTACCCCCAATCACAATCGGATCTGCGAAAAATCCTGACCTGATTCCCCAGATTTTCATTTGTTATAGCCAGTCTGACAGTCCTGGAGTCTGAAATCCTTATCTTACTGTTCTGGATGAATATTTTTTTCTGGCAGTCAAAACTCCTGACTCCAATCACAATTGGATCTGCGAAAAATCCTGACCTGATTCCCCAGATTTTCATTTGTTATAGCCAGTCTGACATCCTTATCTTACCTTTCTGGATGAATATACATGTATTATTTTTTTCTCTGATAGCAGTGCTCAGCCCTGTGGCCCTTTTTGATTACTTGTGGTTGAGATGCAGGCTTTGATTTGGGTCACTTATCATGATTTTGCCTTCCTGCGTTCATTTGTCAGTGGAGCAGTGGATTGGGGCGGTCGCAAATATTTTCCTACAGGAGATGATATAAACAATTTCCCCCCTGCTCCATTTCCCAACTCCCAAACCTGATCTGGATTATTTACAGTTAGATGCGCTGGGCCTACTTAAGTCTTAAAACCGAGATTTATCACCCAAATTAAGGTACATACAGATGTGATGTCTGCTTCGGTGGGTAATTTTGTACTGTAAATTTTCACAGCGATAAGACGGATTGCAAAATCAAATTTCCTGTCGTTGCAAAATGTAGTACCTGTACTGTAGTATCTTCAGAAAAAACTGTTCATAAGAAGATGTTTTATGCCAGTGCCCAGGCTTGGTGTCTGTTGTAGAATTAGTTATCGTATTTCAACTGTTTGTTGGCCACAGAGTAACCCTGCTGGGGAAATTAGATGAGTTATAGTATAGGCTGGATGTCTGCGCCAATATTCACTGTCATTCTACAATCTCTCCTAGGTCACAAAACAAAGTCAGTAAAGGAAATCTACGTTGTATATAACACAGTACATTTTACTACTTTGAGAAAAATTTTATTTCACAAAGTTGTACAGACTGTATACGTTGACAGTATGAGAACTTGCAAATTGTTGTAATTTTTGAAAATTTGCATGCTTGCCATTTATTCTACTTTTTTTTCTACATAATGTCTAAATGCCACAACCCCTTGCTCTTAATTTTCATTAGACATTTTGTATTGGAGAGGAGAATCCCTTGGCGTTACTATGTATTTCATCCCTGTTTATGTGTCTAGTGGTAGTTGGATAATGCATAATATCATGAATTTTAAAGCACACATATCCACGCTAGCAGCATTAATGGATACAGAAGGACAAACAACATTTTTACTCTACACACTCGTAAAGTATTCTATTAAAAATACACATGTGTGTATTGACAATTACACTTCATATGTATTTATTAGACTGTAAACTCTACCTCTGTCTGGAAGTCTTATCATTACTGCTTAGGTGTATGTATTAATGATAGTAGTTATAAATAGTAACAGGGCTGGAAATACCACCTGCATATGCAGGTTAGTGCAGATAAGATTGCAGGTGTGCAGGTGTTTCTGATGTCTACTTGCACCAGTCGTTCTTTTTTACCGTTTTTTAGGGGGAATAGGTGTACTGGTGCACCCAATCTAAAAGAATATATAGTGCACAAAATTTTTTTAGGTGCACGATATAGGATAAAAAAGGAGAATGTCAGCAAAAACTAATTAGGTTTCATTTCTAAAGAAAAGTACTGTAACAATGATTTTAGTATTTTTCTGACATTTGGATTGGATGTTAAGAACATACTGTATACTACTATATACTACTATATATTTAACATCTTGTCTGGTGCAGGTAATTTTCAATCCCACCGGTGCAGGTATGCAGAAAACTTATTTTATCAAACGGACGTCTTTCTTCCAAGGACACAATGTATTAATGGTAGCGTGATACCAAATGGCCTTGGCTACATATTCGTGGTACAGAGCTAAGCCATGCCTTGAGGCTGGGTGATTTTCATGACCGATTACACCTCTGCATTAGGCTGTACATAGCAATAACCTCTTTTCCACAGCGCTGTGAAGATTAGAGCCTATACTGTTCAGAAAAAAGAAGACCTTGCAATACTGTTGGCTCGATGTCATAAAATTTGAGAGGCAGGCCATGTAGAATGATAGCCTTTATGGGGTAGCAGTTTTTATACATTTCATTAAAAGAACCTTACTGTTGCCTTTGCCAAAGTGGGCCAAGCTACATGTATGTCCAAATGCTTTTAGCTAACCCAACTATGAATTGGAGACACAATGAAAGTACATGTACCTGTGAATAGTAATGTATTGTTTAGCACAAGTTACAAGTGGTATAATTTCTGATCCATGCGAGTGCTTATCTTGCATTAGATACTCTGCATCGAGATTCAAAGTCATAGATCACTTAATTGATCACCTTTTTACGTCTCGGGTTTGCAATTTCTATTCATGAAGCTTAAATCCAGTATTAACACTGCAGAAGATTTTGCCGCAATACATCAAAGTGATTGTGCTATCATCCTTTTGGCATGTCGTACGTTGGATTATGCAAAAAATGCTTTTTGAGTTACTGGGGGAATTAGGTTTACATGCGAAGCAATTACGTTTGGCATACAAGATTACAAGTAATGCTGTAATGGCCAATGGTAGGGAAAAGGTGTTATATCTCAATTTCCAACTTTCAAATTTTGATTAATATACATCTTGTTGGGGGAAAAAGATGGCAATTAGCTTTAAGAGGCTGAGACTAATTAAGATGTTGGGTGGGTTGCGTTAGTACTGGGGTTCTCTAAGAGTCTAAGCCCACCTTATTTGCATACATGGCTGGCTATAAGTACAAGCTGTAGCGAAGCTGCATTGAGCTATAAAGTTCTTGAAAAATCATCATGCTTCACCACATTTCAGGAAGACTGCTGTATCTTAATAATATTCACCAAAATCATTGAATTACCGTTCATTTGAAAACTATCAAGTTAAAAGCTAGTAGCTGGAACACTTTCCTACATCTGAAAGCCATGAAATAAATCAGTATAACCTAATGTTAGTAAAAATCAGTATTTCAGGTGGTTGAGACACTTTCCAGGTTTGCGTTATAATGTTCATGTGAAAACCTATTGCGTAATATTACAGAGTTGCGTGTGTTATCGTTGCTTCCATATGGACGGGGCTTTCTGTACGGCGGCTTGTGGGCTCACTTTGACACATTCTCTGGCTTAGGCTGAAAATCCAAAATCAGATACATGCTGCCAGAGCCTGAGCAGTCAGAAACCTGTGAAAGATCTCGGTATCAAATGTGTTAACTGTGGTTAGTTCTGATCCATGAGTGTCTGATCCAAAAAATGTGTTCATTTCCACTTCCTCCCTACTTATTAATATTGTTACTGGCTTATTGTTGGTTGTGGCTGCAAGAAATTGTTGCAAATTACAGTTTCTGTCTTCTCTCAATCATGAAAAAATATTACCTTTCTTGAGTGACATCCTAAGACCTGAGAAGGAACATAGCTTTAATTTGTACAATTACATTGTAATACTTGAAAGTATAACGTGTAGTCATAATGTGGCATTACGCCATGTGTTTATCAAATTTAAAGAAAGAAACAATACCTTTTGTAACATGTTTGAAGCAACTTGTCAACAAGTCACAGCTGCAATATAATGTGGCTTGTTGTTAATGTTGACAAATAAACCAGTCATCTACTGCTGCTGCTACTTTTATTACTTCTACTGATACTACATCTTCTATATTGAATGAATGAATGAATGTTTATTTGCTGTCTTGCAACTTTTGTCGCCCAGCTCATATGGGCTTATAAGACACCAGAACATAAACATGAACATAAACATACATGTAGGTACAGAAATCATAGAAACACAAATTCAAGACCAATCAAAAGTCAGACATGAAATTAAAGAACTTAATACAACATTGTACATAACATAATTGGTACATAAAAGTCAAAGGTGCACAGAGGCAACTCAAAAGTACATAAATTTATTGTTTCCTTGAAGAGTAGTACAATGTTTTGACTTTTTTGCTTCTGTACCCTCCAGGCTGTGAAGACATCATAGCTGAGAGCATCACAGTGGACATGCTGATCCCCACGCTGCAGTGGAGCAGGCAGCCGCACGGCTCGGAGTGGGCCCACAGACAGGCCCTGCTGTACCTGAAGGAGGAGTTCTCCCAGGTAGCCTCCTCACCTGTGCTGTGTGAGCTCGGAAAAGACTACTTGGGAGAGGCCCTGCAGTCCGACTACCTCCAGGTATGTTATGTATAATGCAGGGCTCGAAATACCACCTGCATATGCAGGTTAGTGTAGGTAAAATTGGAGCTGTGCAGGTATTTCTGATGTCTACCTGCACCGGTCCATGTACTGGGTATATGCAGGTTAGTGCAGGTACATTTGGAGCTGTGTTAGGTACATGTACTTCTGAGCTAACCTGCACTGGTTCCATATACTGGGTTTTGCATATACATGTACATGTAAGTGTATGTGGACTTTAATTGAATGCATTGACTGTAACCATCTATGAAGTATAAAAGAAATAATGCATTATGGTTTATAAACAGTTTTTAGTATGATCCATACTTCCTAAATTCTGAGTGGTACAGGTGAAATTTGCCTGGTGAAGGTAATGTGCACTAGTGCAGGTATGCAGGAAAAAGTATTTGAGGCCACGTAATGTTTAAACTTGACATTTTTGCTCCTTGTCATGCAGTCAATTTTGCAATGTCAGAAAGAGTTGTACTTTTAGTTGACCATGCTAAAAACTGAGCCTGCGTGATCAAGTCTAAGCCTACACAGATACCTTTTTCTAGTCTGGGTGATAACTTTCAAAGGTTTGATACAGCACTTGAGTAAGAGCGGGCGGTATATCCAATATTTGCCTTTCTTCTGGGATTAGGGTTTATATTACATTAGTTCAGACGTACAGCTGACAGAGCAGGAACTTAACCATCTCCTGTAAGGGCTGATTATCCGTCTGCCCCGGACGGGTGTCGGAACCAGTACCAATCAATCTATCGTGTCTCACCTGTACTGTACATGTCCCCCACAGGCCAGTGAACTGGAAGTGCTGAAGGCCGTGTTAAAGTGGGGGGAACACCAGCTGGTGCGGAGGATGGAGGAAAGAGGTGGGTCAACACACAGGTCATCCCAGCTGCCTGTCTAAAAGGCTTTGATTTAAAGTGTTGCGTGTCAGAATTGATGTCCAGAGGAGATGCTACCTGTAGATGAAAGAATAAGTGTTTGTCAAAACCTGATCACTAAGGGAAAATCTTTTGACAGCCTCCTGTGCAGACTTTTCTGTTTTGATGAGAGTTGCTTTTTTTTCTTGGATAGGTACGTCAGGAGAGGGCTGTATCAGAGGATATTCACAAGTGGCCGATACAGCCATCCCCCCGATATTGCCCTCTTCCAAAGAAACCGCTTCTAAATAATTTGACTAATTTGAATGTGTTTTGTATGCATCGCTTTCAAAAATTCAAGACTTAACAGATTCAGAAGTTGGAAAATTATGTTGCGACAACAGCCTACAATTCATGCATCCAATTCTTCAATTTTACTTTGTTTAGGAATATCAGATTTTCTCAACTTCTGGTGCATTTTGCATTGAAACGTGTGTTTCCTCGGGTGGGTAACACTGGTCTTTGACCGTTGAGCAATCCATCTGTGGTCAGGCTGATATTTCAGGTGATATGAAACACCCCGTGTTGTACTCTATACTGACATACAGCCTGTACTTGCAGAGCCTAACCTGGTGAGCACGACGGCCCACAGTGTGAGTAAGAAGGGTGTGAAGAGGAGAGACCTGGATGATGTGGAGCTGCGGGAGATCCTGTCGGAGGTCCTGCCGTACGTCCGGGTGGACCACGTCCTGCCCGCCAGCCACGACGTCCTGTCCGCCGCCATCAAGCGCGGCCTGGTCAGCAGCCCGCCCTCCCACATGCTCGGGGGCGACACGGGGAAGGCCAACGCCTGGATCCCGGGCAAGAGCAGCGGCATGTACATCAAACCCAGGTTATTCCAGCCGTACATGGACGAAGCAAAGGTCAGTTAGACCACTAGTTACCCTCTCTTGGTTTGGTGACAAGATTGGTGACGTGGTGGGATTCGAACCTGGGACCTCTCGGTTCCAAGCTGAATGCTCTGCTGTTACGTCACACAACCCCACCACCTCTTTTTACACCAAGTAGGTCAGGTAGACCTCTAGTTTCTCACTCTTGGTTTGGACAAGATCAGTGACATGGCAGGATTCAAACCCAGGACCTCTTGGTTCTGAGCCGAATGCTATGCTGTTATGCCACAACCCCTTTTTACACCAAGTAGGTCAGTTAGACCTCTAGTTACATACTATTGGTTTGGACAAGATTGGTGAGAAAACCGAAACCTCTTGGTTCTGAGCCGAATGCTCTGCCGTTACGCCACACAACCCCACAACCTCTTTATACACCAAGTAGGTTAATTAGACCTCCAGTTACCCACTCTTGGATTAATTTTCCTTAAATACCCACAATCATGATAACGATCAGTATCGTTTTGGCATATTCATTATCACCTGAGCGAAGTGAGGAAAGTCATGTAAAATGCCTTTCCCAAGGGCACAAGGTTGGTGACTTGACAGAATTCAAACCTGGGACCTCTTGGTTTCTGAGCCGAATGCTCTGCTGTTACGCAACACAATCCCACAGCCTCTTTTTATGCCAAGTAGAATAGCAGGGGCTTTTGAATTGCATTGTATGTAAAGGAGAACTCCAATCCAGAAGCAAGTATAACTCCTTCAGAGAATAGATCATCATGCTTAAATCCATTTTATTCTGTCAAATTTACAATTGTTTTAGTCTTAATGTCATGCAAGCATTGTTGATTCTTGAAACTCCCTAAGGATCCTTCCAACAATCCCAGAATTCAATGTGTGCTGCATGTTTAGCATTGGAGACCTTCCAGTGTCTTAGAAAAGTACCAAAATCTGTATCATGAAGGTCTATTGGTCAATCATAACAGTCCCCAGGTAAAAGTTTCTTGCAGTCCTTGAACCAAGTTCCTGAATAAGTCCTCTGAAACGAAAACATCTCATGACATGACAGGATGTTCTGACAGCCGTCAGTACCAAGACACACACACACGATGCACTCAAAATCCTTCTGTACTGCAAAGATCAAGTTGCCCTGACAGATAAGTTAATGACACGCTAAAGTAATTCGACAAAGAAAAGCACCACAGACCCCCTTGATAGATTGATTATATTTTTCACTTTGACCTGTTAGTGCCTCCAATTACTTATGACTGAGTAAGTTACCCCGAGGCGCCTTTCTTTTCTTGACGAGATGTGAGCACTTAAAGCTGACAGCGCGGCTCCTGACAAGTACGGCCTGTAATGGAATTGTTCTTTGTTAACCACTTTGGGCTTTCATTTCCCCAAAGTACACATACGTGATGCTCATCCTTATTTTGTACCTACACGTACGTGATGCTCATCCTTATTCTCTTCCTGTGTGTAAGGTTGATTGAACTTGAGACTAAAAGGGAAAATAAACACTGAAACATGCTTTGAGATTATTTTTATGTGTACCTTTACAGAAGGAAATATATTGTTTTTGCTCCATTTCTTCTTCCTTTTTCGTTAAAAAAAATAAGGTCAGTGACCTAGACCAGATGCTTGTCACTGTGGTAACTGTTGCTGTAGCAGACACCATGTGATTACATGATGTAGCAAGTGGTAGGACAGTTGGGTTGGCTGGTCACCATGCGTATGAATACATGTATGTGTGGGTCAGAATAAATAAATCAGTAGTTTGCTGGGCTAGACCATGTGACACTGGGTTCTAGCCAGCATCCGTTTTTCTGTGAAGAACCGGAAATTTACGGCGTGTGACGAAAAAAAATTTAAAGTCTACCTTGACAGACAAAATCATCTAAGATCTTGGGGTAAAAATGTAAAAACATCCAGAGGATCACTGACAATCACTCTCAACCCCATGATTTGCCTGTCAAATTTGAAGGCTTGAAAGTCCAAAATTTACAGCGCTCCCCACCCAGATACAATCTTGAACCTGGACTGAAGGAAAAAAATTTTGAGCTGACTAGAGCCCTGCCATGTGAAGGTAAACATTACACATTTACTTTGCAAATATAATACCTTTCTAGTTAAAATAATATCCATAATCTTACTGCTATTGAAATGTCATAAATAGGACATACATGTATGTACCAACAGAATAATTAGTTGAGTGGTAAACAATCCTCCTCCGCCCCCCTCCCCACAGGCTATCCTGGAGGAACACCTGGATGCGGAGATTGAGCTGGTGCGCCTGCGTATGATGCGGATGTCGCACATCCCCGACACCCTCTACATGGTGGATGACAAGACCCCCTCCAGGGTCCGACACAGACCCAGTGCCAAACCTCCAGCCTTCATCGCAGGGGAAGTACCAGGTAAAACTCCTACATGTGCAATATGGATACACTTGTTAAAATGTTTAGGTTTAAGTCCAAGAAAAAACGTAATGTTGAGAACCAAGTCCGGACCTACAAAAAGCAAAATCAGGTGACATGCCCCAGTTTCGTTCTGAACCACCTAAAGCCTTCCATAGATAGAAAAATTTGTGCTGCAAAGTGAAGAAAACATTTGCGATTGGGCAATGTCATGTGTCGGCCTCTGTAATTATGTAGCCATAGTTTCACCCAGACGTGTTATGAAAACAATCTATCTTGATACATGTACATGTATTGCTTCTAAACCCTGGTATTGCAGTGTGCAATACAAACTGTTTGCCAACATGCAATTTTGTATATGTCATGTCAGGATCTGAGCCTAAACCTCTGGACTTAAATCCGGACCTGAACGTTTATGTACACAGCACTAGATACACTATTTGTCCATAATGTTACACCATCTTCACACCAGAATGAACCAGAATGTTGTCTGAGTGAAAATTCTTTTATACTCTGGATACTTGAAATGCATCAGTACCAGATTAGTTCAACATAGAAACGGTTTCCTAAGGCAAGTCAGTAATAGAGTAATGGATGTAAGCTTTTCTCCAAAGACATTGGATGTAGTTAAGAATCGGTTGTAATGTTAAGAACCACTAACACAAGTTTAAGAATGACATTCACTGTTGAGGCCTTAGAAGATAACTGTGAGACTGCAGAACATGTTATTCACAACACTTCAAAACTTAGGGCCGTTTGCGAACACAAAGCACTAATGAGAAATGAAGCATCAGAGATGCCACTGTGACCGATTACCTCTGCAACTGTAGAAAACTTAGCCAGGTAGTCTGTCATGTTGTTCGACTGCATGTCATCCCCATACTTCAAAACACCCACCTACTCTGTAGGTTGTAAGGCTATACTTCACTCTCAGAACTGGAGCTGTCTTCTTCTAGAACACAGGGGAATTGGTTCTGAATGGCTGCCATCTGTTCACAGTGACAGGAACTTGGCTTTGATCCATCTGTAGTCTGTTTCCCGGGACAGTTTACTGTAATTCCTGGGTTCATTCTTTTATGGTTACTTGTGCATTGTGAAATTATTATTATCGTTAACAAATCATTCATCTTTTATCTTCCTCCTCTCCCACCACCATGAAAATCAAGTCCATTTTCCTTAGACTGTGAAATTTTGCTACTGTTCAGACAAAGTGAATGACAGTAGTTTGTGGACAGTGTTGGAACTTGTTAGTGAAGGAGTGGGTTCCCTCTAGGCGATGTGCCTTCCACCCACACAGGTGGGGAGACCTCTGCCAACTTTCCCCCTCTCACCGAGTGGGAGTCTGAAATGAATCTCTGATGTACGCTAATTTGCAAAACAAAACTAAGCCAACGTTTGCAGTTTGAGTCTTGACCGCGAGTGAACCTTTTTACAGTATGTCAAAGTCTACACACATAAACTCCAGCTTGACGTCCCATCCAGGATGGCGTCAATAACCAAAGCTAGGTCATTTTTACCTGAATCAAGTGAAATAAGGGAAAATTGCCTTTCCCAAGGACAGTGGGGACTGAACAACCCTAATCACAAGACCACCCTCCAGCTATTTGAGACATTTTGCTGCTCTTCCCAAGGATGTCTGCTTTAACATACATGTATTTTCCCTCCCTCCAGTTCCAGATGTGGACAAGGTCCGAGCGATGTTGGGGAGGGAGAAGGAGCTTCGTCGCATCCCGTTAGCACAGCGAGCATACGGCATCTGTCCGGACCGTGGCCTGGTCACGTACCAAATCCACCTGCGGGTGGTGCGTGAGTTCGGCCTGCCCGACGCGGCCGTAGAACTGTTGCAGTACCCGGGGGACTACTACCTCGAGCTTCTCGACGACATTCCGGGTGCGGGGGCGACCGCGGCCGTGGCGTTGGCGGTCCCTCCGATGTCGGCCCCCGCCAGACACCTGGACGAGACCAGATTCTCCTTCACCCCCTCTCCCAGACCCCTGGCACCCAGACCTGCACCTGTCCAACATGTGGATCCACTTGATGTAAGGCTTGTTTTTTTTCTAGCATGTTGGTAGAACATACTGTGCCAGCGCAAAATCTGCGCAAACATATAGTTCCTCCAACATGTCCATTTCAGACCGCAAACTTTTACTACCGAAAACATAAAGTGATTTACGGCATGTCTTATGAGTAATTGTGTGAACTGCATGTATTTTTGTTAAGTAATCCTTTGTTTTAAAATATCCCTGGCAGGTAACTGAATGCACGCGGCGAGGTGTGATGCCTGACATCGCTGTTCCGGCTACTTCTGCTACACCCTCTGTGGGCCGGCAGCTGCAGCGAAGCCCGGAGCTGGGCGATCGGAGCGGGGCTCCCTTCAGCAGGTCCTTCTCCTACAGCTGAGGGAACACCTGCAAACAACTGTTTGCAAGCAGGTGCTAGGCTCTACAGGTGGCTGCTGGTCCATAATGGACTCAAGGCGCAGAAGGGCCATTCCACTTTAAAAAGTGGATGGGTGGGGGATATAGCTCCCCCTTGAAGCTTTTAAAATGAACTTGCCCTAATCTTCCTTCAATTATGTAAATGTAAGTATGAAAAATGTGTTCTAAACACTTTTATATTATTTCTTACCAATCCTTTTGTGAAGAAAATGCCACAGCTGTGTCATATATATATATATGTATATGTATACTTATGTATATGTATAATGCTATCAGACTATAGATATAGATAGGGTAGGTGGTGAAAGTTTAAGTAAAATTTTTGATAAAGATTTAAGAATCCTTCCACACCACTGATGTATTTGGACACCCTTTCTGAACATGAAGCACCATATGATATTTCTCTACAGCATTCATGTCCTGACTGAGATTGAAGTCCAATCTTATAGTGGGGTGAGCTCTTTTTAGCTGCATTAGAATGAAAAATGGATTGGATGCTATGATTGTGTTTTGCTTTGTAGTATAACGTGTCATTGCAAAAGATGTCACCGGCCATTGTACAGCCTTTTTCTATATCACAGTGCCAATCACAAAGACGGCTGCTCTTTTTGAATATAGCAAATCTTAATATCACAGCATACAAGAATATGCATACGCTGTACTTGCTTATCTAATGAAAAATGCCCCGCTTGTAGAAAGTGTTTTTTGACGAGAATTTGGGCAGAAAGGTTGAAGTTTTATGACATTGCCACATTGGAAATGAACTTCTTCGTGAACTTTCTTTTCCAGAAAATCATTTTGTACATATGTAGACATTAAATAAATATGTATATGCAAGGACAGAACTTTTAACTGATAAAAAATGAAGTCTTCTTGTCAGTCCCCTCTCCACAAAAATATTGTGGTATGTATTTGTAAGAAAAAAAGGAAGAAAGAAAAACATCTTCATGATTTCCTACATTTTCAAGCTAAAGTTTAGAAACTTGTTGGGAAATAATACAGAAACTTTTGTTTCTATAAGCCTGAGGTTTGATTTTCCATACTGATTTTTTATACAATGTATTAGAAATTTTATGCCTGCACATATTTTGCTATTGACTTCATAGATTTGTTTCTCAAATGACTTATAATTAAAAAGAAAAATAGAGAAGTAAGTTTCAAGCACAATGGTCATACTAGCTCTCTGGATACCCTAGACTTCTAGAACATTTAAAATTTATGTTGACTTGTCACTATTTGTATTGCTGGGCTTCCATAATAAAATAGGATTTGTCTTTTTCATGCACTGTAGATAATGAATCAAGATATGTGTACATGTACCATAAAGTTTATGTGTAAAGAACTGCTATGCTATAATCTATTTTCTTTATGTTGAATACAGTAGGCTAATTGACTTTCCTGACAAAATGAAATGCAGGATTTAAAAGATTGTCTATGTTTACGCTGATTGGTACAAGAACTTATGTCACATTTTGCCTTTCATTTAAATGTATGGATGATCATTATTGCATTATATGTTTGTTATAGAGAATCCTTGATATTATTTACTCATAATGACAATCATAGATAGATGTTCACCATTAGACACTTTTGTATGCAGTCTTTGCAAGGGCAACAAAACTAGAATTATTGATAGTAGAGCTTGCGTGAGTCTTCCATTTTACTTTTATCACATTTTTGTATGTATCATACAATTTAAAGTTACATGATCTATTTTACTGTACAAATTATTGTCTCAGCATAAAGTCTAGTTTCAGATTATGGAAACTTATGATTGAAGTAACAACCACAGATTGGAAGAGCATAAAATCATTGAATATGGACTGTAAGAAATTGACACTTGTCATTCCCTTGTGATTTGTGTTGTCACTGCATTTTGCCTTATTCTACGTTGTGTATGTACGTTCACATGAATGTTTACCATACAACCGTAATATCTCAAAAGATCATGCAAAGATGACCTTGCAAAAAATTGACAAAAAAGGCTTAGATTTTGCCTTCAGTTATAGTTATAGATCGATCATCTAAAATCTTGATGACTTGCTTCCCTTGCTCTTTCTCTTAGTTAAGGCAAATTTTTTTTTTCTACTCATCAAATCAAGAGCAAAAAAAATATGTGATGATTTCACTGTTGATATGAACTGATTATATTTTCTTGATTTGAAAGTATTTGTGAATGGATGAAAGACCACAGCCCCTTGAATTGTACCCTGTGTGAAACAAATGTGGATAATAGATGTTTGCTGTTAGCCTCCTGCGCAGGCTTTTCTAGTGGCCAGCGTTTGTTTCTATGAGCTGGAAGAGCTGCGCTCATAGAAACAAATGCAGGCTGCTAGAAAAGTCTGCGCAGTAGGCTAGTTTGCTGTGCCGTTGTGTTCTGTGACAATGTATGTACTTGGGTCATGTAAAATGTCCAATGTAGCCCCTGCAAGAACTATAATTATTCACCAAGCTGTCTGATCTCTACACACCGATGTGACAAAACCGTAGAGTGTACGATGGAAAGAAAACGTTAAGATGTGTACAGCTGGTTTTATCACTTAGATATATGAGTGTTATTTTCCTAGTCCTTCACTGTACAGAGATGTCCATAGCTTCGTGTGGCCTAGTGGTACTATGGTGTACGTTCTGCTTGGCAATAAAGCTTCCCGTTTTACACAAAATAAACTTGTTTTTGTTATTTATAAATGAAAGGAACTGACCAGATTGACTGAATGCCAATACAATTTATTGTGTCAAAACCACAATTCTTTATACATACAAGTACATACTAGATAATGAAAGTTAGTACATGTATATGATGCCACTTTGTACAAAACATAGTATATTACACTCTCCAAGCAGAATTTTCGGCTTTAGCTTGTTTTGACATGATTTTCGGTGTATTATTGGTCTTTCGTTTTTTTGGACAGGTATCTTTTTTTTTCTCCAGCCAAACTACATTGTATATGGATACTGCCCTACTTATTTGATACTGTCTTGTACTTAGTGTCCAGAAAAAAAATCTGCTTGGATATATTATTATACAACATTCAGTATGACAACATTTGTCTTCAAATATTCAAAGCGTTGGCATTATATTTGGTGGTTTGACCGTAACTTTGTTAATTAACAAGTACAATATTTAACTCAAGTGCAACCCAGCCAGTAGGTCTACATTCTTTATCACTACATCATTGTAAACATGTTGTCTTTTAACGTTACGCGCCTTGCTATTTGTTGTGGCATCAAACGTTCCAGACATTCTGACAGTTTATACACGGTCTATACAGTTCATTTCAATGTTGCTAGATGGCGCTAAGATACACCACCCTGTATGACTCTCCAAGCAGATCTTCGGGGGCAAAATTGTGACGATTTCTTACTGGCCCCGTATAATATTTGACTGTTGGGCCGCCTGTCGAAAACCGAAAGTCACAATCTTCCAATCCACCTTTAGCTTGGTTTATAAATATATAAACAACATGTTGTGCCCCCTTTTAAACAATGGTGCCGTCGGGGTCAAAGGTGGTACGTATCACTGGTTACCTGTTCAACGTTTATAAACACAAGGCCACGCCTCTTCCTTGTCAAATAAGTACCGTAATATTTATTTCTTGACGTCCCTAGATTCACTGCAATGTTTTTCATCTTTCCTTGTCAAGCAAATGGCAAGAGAAGCTTGTAAATAAGCTGCAACTAGTTTTATTGCGTACAAAACCATGGGTTGTGCAGCTAGTCATTCTGATTCTGATCAAGGAGGTCCAAACTCGAACCATGACATGGAAAATCGTCTCGACTTGGACGCCGTCGCCGACATCGTCAGGGACTTGTGCGCAGGTAAAGACTCCGAAATCCCGTCGACAGATCCTAGCCGAGCGTGGACCGAGGTCCTTTCCGAGCCCGTCTTCGGGCGCCTGTGCTCCTGTCCCCGGGGCACGACCGCGCCCGACCGGCTGTCCTCGCGGGACGGGAGGAAATACGTTTTCGCCTTCGGTCCGGAGACCGTGTGCGGAACTCTGCTGAGATTGAAGCCGTATGAGATGCTGGTTCAACTGGGCCTGATCCCCCGATACATCTACTGGAAGGTGAAGCGTACAACGTTTATTTGTCTGCCTACTACGTGTGTATCCTGAATTAGGGTGCATACCTATACTAGTATATTGTCGCTAGGCGGCGTTCCTACCTTACGCAATATTAGCTCATTGGGCAGCGCGTCGCCCATCCCTTTTCAGGTCGTTTCGAAAACTACTAGTAGCAAACAAGTATTAAAAGCAAATACGACTAAGAGTGGAAGACTTAAAATTCCACATATGTCTGTGATCTATGAAATAACTTCGATGATCAAACTATACAGAAACCCTAGCGTTGATGTTGAACCATCAAATATCCCGACGCTGTTACAGGTGTACAAAGAAGAACTGCCGTGTTTCTTGGTGTTGTTCCGTCCGGACTTGGTCAAACCCGAGCCCGCCACTTGGGACGGCGTCATAGCCTTCATATCCCGGCATTACCCGCGCTGTGTGGACAAGGTGCGCGAGCATTTACCTGAGGTAAACTCTTTTTATTACTTTTTGTTCATGTATGTGTGTACGGTTTTGTTTTCGGTTTGTCTGTTTGTGTGTGTTTGTCGCTATCCAGACACACTGATAGGAAGTTAGGTCAAAGGTCCCAGAAGAGTTTATCTCATTTCCTGTCTTCAAGTTCCTGTTATGGTAAGAACTTTATTGACACAACAATAGTACAGCGACTTTCGTAAGGTCTTAAACTAGACATACAGACAGAAAGATACGAGGGAACAACAAAATTGACCTACGTACAAGGAAATAGATGAATCAACTCATACTACATGTTCTAAGGTCTAAACATTCTTTGATATACATTTTTGTATTTACCTATTTATGCATGCCAGTGGGTGAGAAAAGGCAGAGAGAGAATCTGCAACAAATGCACAGGAATGAATACAAACTTTAGAAAAAGTTGAAAAACCCTAATATTTCACGAAGGTATGAGATCGATTTCTTATTGGTGTCTTCTGGTCACAGCATTTGACGAATCACGACTTATTTGTAGTAAACCTGCATGTCTCACTCCTATATGATAGATCAAGAGGAGATCAGTGGACGACTTTGAGAAAGACTGCAGCGTCCGTTTCATAGACGCCCTGGAGAACCCCGGCGGGCCTGACTTTATGACGTACGACCGCTATGTGGCGCTGTCGGCGCCGCTGCCCTGGCAGACCCGGCTGTTCCTGTACTGTGAGCTGCGCCTGTTCGAACTCTTCACGGGGGATGGGAGGACTAGACTTCACGATGGAAGCCTGGGGGAGATGGAGTACCTGTGTGATAACGTGGCCCTGGCTGACTTTGGGGAAGGGAACTATAAAATCATTCCCGTCACCGTTACTATACCTGACGACGTTATTCGGAAAAACGAGGACGAGGGTGAAAAGTAGCGTGTGTGGGGTCGTGTGGAGTAGCGGCAGAGTGCTCGACTCGGAACCAAGAGGTCCCGGGTTCGAGTCCTGGCATGCCACCGACCTTGTGCCCTTGGGAAAGGCACTTTACACGACTTTCCCCACTTCACTCAGGTGGAAAATGAGTATTGTGTTGTCCCCTATGTTGGTGGCAGCATTAATATGAGTGTGCCGTCACCACGTCTTGTGATTATATGTTGGAATATATATAAAAAAAGTAGCAAGGGTGTCTTTTCTAAATCTATACATTCCACGAAATGCTTCGTACATGTATGAAATGTTTATGAAAACTGCGTCTATGTTTTCAGTATTTCCGTATGTATTTAGCCATCTTTTTAAACCCTTTAAATATTACTTTCCAAGCAGAGGTTGTGGGGGAATGATCGTTAGTTTTTATCTCGGCCGCCTGAAGCGGCCGAGGTATTGTGCTCCAAAATATGTACGTTCGATCGTGTTTTCGACCGTGAAAAAAAACCCAATGAAACCAATTACTCTGCATGTATACTTTACTTTGTGGTGTCGACCTACCGGATGATAGTGTCGTTATTCTGATACAACGAAGTTGCTAAAAAAAGAGGAAATGCTGTTTACCACAAAACCATTGTTTTATATCATAGTATGCATTTAATGTTCTAGAATTTCGCTAATAGCTGCTGTAATTGGACCAATAAATCAATGACATAAATTATGTACATTAACCTTCCATATTTGCTTCAGTCGCAAGATGTCGCTTTTGATTGGTGAATAAATCACTGTGACGCAAGTAAATATTCACTTGAAATGAGAAATTACCGCCCAACAAAACGGACCATTAGATTCCCAGTGCTGTATTACTCTTTTGTTCTTGTGGTCAACTTGTTTTCTTTGCTTGAATCGCGTAAAAGACCAAGGAAAATACAATGAAATCGGCAATCGCCGAGCCGCGCCCCGATCTGCCGCCGCCATCTTGGATTTTTTTGGAAAGCTGCAATTTGGCCCAAACCGCTAGAGGGGGCGAATTAAAATGTTTAATATATTCGGTGTGAAGTTTTAGTAGCTCTAGCAGTAGAGGAGAAGTTTGATAATGCATAGAACGGATAAAATAGAATAAAATTAAATGAAATAAAATAAAACAGAATAAAAAATAAAATGAAAATAAATAAAAAATAAATAAAAATAAAAAAATAGAAATAAAATGAAAATTATTGTAGTGGTTACATATACTTAACGTTATATTGTATTTAGCAATGATCATTTTTCACTAATTCCATTGAAGCAAATGATAATGGAAGCCAACTTATTACCCTGTTTGGTGTTACAGGTATGAACATACTAGGTAATACATTCTTTCCTCTCTAGCAGTTACACAAATCTATGTGGACATCCTCCAAGAACACAAAACTACATGGCCAGCGGCCGAGATAAACTTTTTTCAAAAGTCTTGTTTTATATATGGCCGTGTTTTTTGTCGCTAATCCCACCAACCGGGCCGGCGACCTTCTCTGGCTAATGGATACTGCCTTGACCAATTTGTCTTTTTGCCACCGAAAGGGATCTGCTTGGAGATTATTAAATACGACACCGACTATGAACGATGGAAACATTCTAGCTCTCAGATTCTAGAAATAAATGCTGATGTTCCTGATTCTTATAATTTGTTAGCTTACTTTCTTGTGTGTTGTAACATAGCAGTTACCTTTATATTCGATTGATTTGGAACTTTTATTTGTCTACAACACTACAGTGAGTGATTCTATGGCGTTTTTGTACAAGTGACTTTCATAACGATACATAACCTCACTTCATGGTTCGATATACTAGTATTTGAATGTACAAATCTCAGTATGTAAAGTAGTAATGCACGAAAGACAAGGATATGCATGTGCCAATAATTGTTTTATTCTTTTACATATTTACATGTCGATCCTGTACAAAAAATTACACTGGGTGCTCTGATAGAGCAGTAAGACACAATTCTATACTTGTCACATTCTTAAGTTTGTAATTACCGTTAGAATGTTACCGTTTACGCCCAACCCTTCAAAAGACTTCGCCAAAAATACAGATGCCAAGATCTAGGAGGAGTCCAAGAAAACAATTTTGGTTTACAATAACGCTGTACAATCCTAAGTTCACTGTGTTCATTCGGAAGATCTCAGAACAACGGGTACTGTGTCAAGAAGTCCTTCAGTTCGTCGACTACGTCGTACATGTCCACGAGCGCGGCCGGCGACGGCAGGCTGGCAAAGTCTACGGGTTCGCTCAGCTCCGAGGTCGGCGTGGAAGAAGCGGACTGGACGGAGCCCGGTCTGAAGGCCTCGAGCGTTGGCAGGCTGTCGTCGGGCTCGGAGATGGGGCTGTAGGGTCCCGCGCCGCCCGGGTGTGGGCACTGGATGGCCAGCTCCTTGACGGTACCGTAGTTGAGCGTGCTGAGGGCGGTGAGCGGGGCTCTGATCCGCGGGCCCTCTAGGGAGGGGATGGAGACGCGGACCCGGGACTCGTCGTGCATGGCGCCGAAGTCCTTCACCTCGTCGTCGCTGCCGTTCTCTTCCATGGCGAACAGGGAAGACGACAGCTGACCCCCGCGGAACTGGGCCATCGGTTCGCGGTCGTAGAACCTCCCGGCGGACGGGACGGTGAGGGTGGACCAGGTGGTAGCCGTGACGTCCGTAGCGGGTCGTGAGGACGCCCAGCGGCGGGACTGGGAAGGTGCAGCCGGGGGGTTGCAGCTCAGGTTGGCGGGAAAGTGATGCACGGTCTTGGGGCGCTGCAGAGCGGATGAGGCGTACAGCGTGGGGCACGGCTGGCTGTACGGCTCGGGGTACGAGTAGGTCTGGTCGGGAGACTTGTCCATGGGAGGGAAGACGGGCAGGTTGGAGGCTGTGGGCTGGGCGACGCGACTCTTGTCTTGGCGACGGCTCCGAGCTCGCTTGTTCTGGAACCACACCTGGTCGGGTGAAAAATAAAGAGGAATGTATTAAATGATGTGCCAATGATATTAACATTATTATTAACATAACAAGACCCGTCTGAAAGATTTCACAAATATTGCTCCTATATATTGCTACTGTCTACGATAGTCTGAGAAACATTTGTTTCAATGGTTTTTGAAGCCAGCTGGGTACCAGGACGTTGCCACGGTCAGATACAGACACAAGCTCATCGGCTCCATAGACTACCATGTCCCCAATTATATTTTACCTCACTCCTCAGTTATACCAAGGAGATTGAATACATTTCAACCTCCTTGCCCTTGATCATACAATGATCTCTTCATGGGGATTGACCCTGACAGTCTGGAACCCAGGTAACATTTTTTTGCACCAAAATATGTACATTGTCGAAGAAAATGTGACACGAAGAAAAAAAAACACACACAAAGACGCCTTCGCCTTTCAAAGAACCATGTTTATGTTTTATAGAGCACGAACGAATGAAAACCCCAACTTACGATGACTCTGGACTCTGCGACCCCGAGTGTCTGCGCGAGGCGGTCCCGTGTGTCGGCGTCAGGGTAGCGGTTCTGGGCGAACATCGCCTCCAGGGTGGACAGCTGCTGCGCCGAGAAGTTAATCCGGAGTCTCCGGCCCGTGGCGTCTCCTCCTGCCGACCGCCTGGTCCTGTCCCTCCGCTTGGCACCTGGGCAGTGACGAAATGCAGAGTTATAAAAACGCTACCAACACTCAAATGTGCATAGGTGTCACAAACGCATAGGGCATCATTCAAAACAGGTAAACATATAACAAATTTTGTACATGGCCTGCATCGATAATATATTTTGTGCTCGAAGAACAAAACGGCTAGCATGGGCGCTAGCGGATTTTTTTACGGACGAGGAGCTGAGTTACAAATTGAAAGACACTCAGGTTACATAAAAGCGTAATACCTGATACAATTTTGACTTCAACTAGATTTGCTAGAACAAAACGCATAAGTAACATAATTAACAAAATTATCGAGTCAAGGAATGTTACACGAGTATCAAGGAAGTTCTAACTTCATCGCTATGATGTAGTCAAAGAAGGATTTTGGCACATTGGAAAGTTCTGTGTACAGGTACAAATTGCTAACATCCAAAATAAACTCAATAATGTACATGTAATTCAGGGAGTAAGACCTAGTATAACGAAGAATATAACGTACCTTTCTTGGTCCCTGATTCAGCCGGCTTGGTCGCGTCACTGTCCGGACATCGGTTCTCTCTTTCCACGTCGTCTAACAGCGGGGAGAAGGGAGGTAGATCCTGAACACAAGCAGTCGCCATGGTCTCAAACTTCACCGCAAGAGGAATCAAGATACAACAAGATACGCACTCTTGGAAAGTCACCAGCACGAATGAGTACCGACGCTGGAGTTTCTCGAGTTTTTATTCTAACGGCTTGACGTCAGCCGTTTGACGCTGGCCGCCCGCCTATTGTTGGAATGATTGCGAGTGAGTATATCACTCACGGGGATGAGGTAATAAATAGGACGACAATACAGCACAGACCGGCACCGCGCTGCCGACACACGGCCGCGGGACTTTGAACCGTCTTTGATGCCGCCGCCGGAGGGAGGACTCGGTGATAAACACCTTAGACGTTAAACACACAAGCTTTACCAGGAGGTTTCCTAGCCTAGGTCACTACCCTAGCTTTCCAGACAACTATAGACCCGATT